CCTAAAAAACTAGAGGGTTTCGACTATGAAAGGTACATCGAATCTACAGGGCATTTGATGTTGGATTGGCACAAAATAAAGTATGGTGAAATCTTTGTTCACAATTTGAAGAAACATTTGAACTTCGGCATTTTTAAACCTTCCACAAGCATTGACTTTGCCATTACATATATGTCCCCTAATAGTGCCAACCATGCTAGAAATAGGTAAATATTAAGCTTTTAAAATCCACTCATTAAACGACTCTGCAGCATCATGACACATCTCACCGTAACACTTCCCTGTATAATGAGCATTTGTCTAATGTTCAAATGGAAGACTGGATAGCTTCACGACGGAACCACCTTCATGACAGAAAGCTTCAATTTTCTTATTAAAAAGCGACTATGTTGGTGCATAAGCGCACTCACGTAGCAAAATCACCATGTGTACTCGGAATACATTGGAAAAATGAGCATCACTCAATTTATCCCGCAAATTAGCTTTCAAATGCTGCAAGCAAAATGCATGATAAGCGTTTGAAAAAACTTTCGGCATTGCCTCTAACAGACTCAAGTTATGATCAGATAGAAACATAATAACCCAAGAGTGATTCAATATCTTAGAAAGCTGTTCTAAAAACCAAAATCAAAAAAAATTTGATTCATTCTCCAAATTAACCACCGCAAATGCCAAAGGAAACAACCCTGAAATTAACCACATAAATAGTCGTGAAAATTAAAAGCTAAAACAATGTAACATAACATTGTTGCAGTGTGTTTAAACACTGTTAACAATGTAACAAAGACAATGTAACATAAAGATTACATTTTAACATAACCACGAAATTTATCATTACAAACACAATATTAAACTTTACCTTGGTTGACATCTTTTGCAGTTGCTGATAGAAGATTACCTCTATACTTGTCTTCAAAAAATGTGTCATCCAAAAAAAGTAGTGGATGACAATAATTAAACCCTTGAATACAACATTTAAAAAAAATAAACAACCTTTTGAAACGATTATTATCATGATCACAATCTAAAATAATATGACTGTCTAGATTAGAACGATTTGATACATCGATATACCTACGTAATTGTTGGTACGATAATGAGTGATCACCAAAAAACATACCTTTTGCTTTCTCAACTTTCTCCCATGCTTTATCATAAAATATGGTAAGTCCATAATCAGAAAAAAAAAAAAAATCAATAACCATCTCTGTTGGACGCGTTTGTGGTATGCCCATGAACACGATCAACAATCAAATCTATAATCAAATTAGAACTCATTCTCTTGTTATCTATCATTCGTAGATTCACACCACAACTATGTTCATTGTGCAATTTCCTAATATAAAAAAAAAATCAGTATCTTTGTCCACTGTTGCATTAATATTCCACCCACAACCAGAAGAATATTTAAAGGAATACTCAGTAATAACTCTTGATTTACAATTTTTTACATAATTAAATTCAAAATCAGCCTCAATTGAGTATTTGCAAAGTGCTTTTCGAAACTGTAACGCACCACCTTCAAATTTCTATTTTATATGTCGTATTTCATTATTTCACCCTGTTAGAAGAACTTTCTCATTATAACAAATAAAATTGAATAACAAATCTACTTCACAATCAACAACATCACCTATGTTCACATCCTGCAATGAATCATTATCACCCAACGATCCACTCTCAACATCATCCACAAACACCTTAATATCAACGTAATTTTCTGGGAAACTCCGTTTCAATTCAATCGAATTCTTCAAATTCGCATCGTTGCGCAACATGCAAGTGAGGTGACCAGGTATAAAATATAACAACTGAACTGACAAATTAAACAACTCAAACAAGTTCCGATAGATTTGAATTACAAACTACTTTGAAGACTGAAGTAGCATAATCGTATGTACATAACAACAACACCGTTTCCCCCATTGCAAAATGCTCTCAACTATTAAAAAAATATATACAATGAAATAAAAAATAAAAACATATATGTAAAGAAATACATACTGAAACACAAATATACAAAGACTTAAATAATGAAAATATACATTTTATAACATATGGACATACTTGCGAATTCCACTAGGAAAAATCGGTTATGGTGTTCGAATATAAAAAAAAACATAATAATCACATTTAAAATGTAAGACATTAACATACTAGCAAACTGTGTAATTGTTGTTATGTAATGACAATGAAGAAAACATGTTTTAGGCTTGCATTGATGAATATCTTCCCAGCTGAAGAAGAAGACACCACAAATGACAAGGTTTCAAAATTTAAATTCAAACAAAACGATATATCCTAAAATAAACGGGAGAATAAAATATTCTTATAAAATTAAGAGATGTTTAATGCATACCCTCCCGCTAACTCGAATAAACATTCAAACATCTATTTCATATTCATACGTGAAGATACTTGATTATGTCAAATCCACCCCCAAGTTCAAAAAATATAATGACGATTCCTGATCACAAAATCAATAGAGGATGCATGCTAATCATATGATAGGATGTTCTTTGATCCTCTTGTTGGAAATATAATGGTGTAGATTTCTACAATATGATAAAATTACTTATTGGAAATTTCTTATAACATAAAAAATTGTTTATATAATAAACTACGAAACAATAACATGCAAGAATAAACAACAACACGTAAATCTGTAATAAATAAAATTGATTCATTTGCAGATCAAGAACGAAGATTGAATTTTATAGATCAATGTTAATATTTGACACTATATTGGTGCTTATAAAAATCTCAGAGTCTACGAATTTTGAATTCTAACAAGCAGAAATTAAAATCCGAGTTAAGCATTTACCTAATTCATAAATGAATTTTCTCCAAAAAGATAAGATTTGATTTAAATTACACCCACATCTGAGCCTAGGCCCGGGGCAACGCGTGTGTGTGGTTGAACCAAAGTCCATGTAAGTGCTCATTTCGCTCACAAAATTGCAGTGCACCTTGGGGCCCAACCCATAGTGCACAATTGGGATAATATATGCACATATAAAATTTCTTATCCAACCAATATGAAATTGGTGTTAAATCTCATATTACCAAACCTCTATTTTTCAAATTCTAAGATGGTCACTTTTGAGTTTATTTTTACTCAAAAGTAAAAATATCAATGTGGGGTTGATATATTCACTTACTCGATTTAAGCAAGTGAATATACTACGTTATTCTTTTTAATAGAACACGAACACATAAAAGTTTATTCAAAATGCTAAGTGAGTCTCACTTTAATTTAAACTCAGAATCCATCAAAAATCAATTTTTAATGTTCAAAAACAGCTTTAGTCTAACCCCTTTGACTCAAGATCTTGGTCACTTTCAATCCATCTCGCAAGTAATGACATATGTATTTTTCTGTTCTTCTTCACCATTCTGTCAAACCTTTTCGTCACTCTATTTATACATAAACCTATTGTTTTAATAAAACTTTTACTAATTCTTTTATAACAAATAAATGTGAATGATTAAATTAATCAGTCTCAATAACTCTCATTAATCATTCAATGGTTATTAATGTACTAGTACCAAAAAAAAATGATAGAATTTTGGTAACTATAATTTTATACCTTATATTATACTAGACAATCTCTTAGTTATTATTTTGTTGTTATAGTTTTTGTTTTTATTTAATCATTGAATCAAATTCTAAATTTTTTCTCTATATATTGTAGTGTTACTTACACTTCGCCCCCTAAAATTACGAGGCTTGTATCACTTCATTCTCTTAACCATCTTGTTTCTTTCATCGTGTATTCGACTATGGTTACTTGTTTCGCATTGGTCAAATGATTAACGTCGGTTAAAAATCTGACGAAAAATTGTTTTATTTTTATTCTAGAACAATGTTATTTTATTTCATATTGTTAGACACGTTGGCATTTTCCAGCTAAAAGATAAAGAATGTTTTTTGTTTTGGACAATGAAGTCAATTCAGAGAGTTGTGGGGTAATATGAGAAAGTTAATATGAGAATAAATTGACATAGTTTTCCTCAAATGACAAAGTTCTCATAATTTGAGGGGGCAAAGTGTAATCAATCTTATATTATTCATTGACCACACAACACACCATTTTGGCCAAATGACATTTTGGTTCCCAAAAAAAAATTGTAATCTTCATTTACTCATTGAAAGATTGAAATTTTTATATTGTACCTTCAATTAAATAAAAAAGAAAAAATATGCCCTATTTTTAAAAAATGATTACAAAATTTCATTGAAAAACACTTAAAATTGAATATTATACAAATAGTTATTTATAAAAATAAAATAATATGACAAATTTAACCAAAAAAAAGTTATTGTAAAAGGCAACAATCAGTTAATTTTGAACTATATTCCTATTTTTTTTATCTGATCAAGGATGTAATATAAAAATTTTAATTTTTTATAATATAAATTAGGGAAAAAAAACATAGTTTGTTCCTAAACTTTGGCTTTGATTTTAATTTAGTCCTTGAAATTTTATTTATTTTAATTTAGTCTATCAACTATTAATGTCATCTTAATTAAGTCTTACCATCAATTTTAATCGTTAGATCAATTAGATATTAGACAATTCTGATTCATTTTATCGTTGATCTGACAGTGAAAATAATTTTGAATGACTTAATTGAGAAAAAATTGATAGTTAAGAGATTAAATAAAAATAATTTAAAATTTGAAGATCAAATTAAAATTGAAACAAAGTTGACAGAGCATTTATATATTTTACCCTATAAAATAATAATTTAAAAATATTTTAAGGTGGAAAAGGATATTCACAATCACCCCTAAACCATCCTTATATCAAACTTGCCAGCTAAGCTACCAGCGGAGACACCGTCACACCGCCAAATTGGCAACACAAAAAAGACAAACCGGACAACCAAAACATCGTACCTTGTCCGAACCCCGTTTCAACGAAGAAATACGAGTGCGGATCTAGTCCGACGTCGTTTCTCGCAATCACCCCAACCCTTCTGTCGGTGTTGAGGAGATGAGCGGAGAAGAAGGGAAGAGCAGAGGCGTCGCGGCCACCGGCGGAGCCAGTGAGCCACAGGCGGTACCGCCGGAGTATTACTACGGGACTTTTCAAGGTGTGGCCAACTATCAACAACAACCTCCACCACCTCAGCCGGTCATCGGTTTCCCTCAGCCCACGCCACCGTCGGGTCTCCACGGCAATCCTCCTCATTACTATTCCCATGGTTATCAAACCGTTCCAGGTACAATATATAAATTTATATATGCACATATATATAAATCTACACACACTCACACACAGAGATATATGTTATGTTTAAAAGGCTACCTGAATTGGATTATGAATCTAAATTGGGATTTTGGTTTGGGTTCTTGATGAAATGGGTAGGACGGTGCTATTGCGTGGTTGGGTGCTAAGAATTTTATTTTTAGTTTTCGGTGGAGTATTCTAGTTTTACCATTTTTAGAGTTTATAATGATTAATGTTTGAATTCAACTGGATTGGCTGAAGGAAAAGGGAAAGGAGTAGGTAGGGGGGGGGGGGGGGGGGCACACTTAGCAAGTACGATAAATTACCCCCGCTCAGCTTTCTTAAAAGCTTTTGGTACTTTTTTTATGTCATTTATGTGCACAATGTGAGTAATAGATTTGGTTGTGGACTTTTTATACAAATCTTGAAGAACCAGTTACTATTTGTATGTGTGTATGTATATAAATTATGTTTAAAAGGCTACCTGAATTGGATTATGGATCTATGTTGTGATTTGGGTTTGGATTTTTGATGGAATGATTTAGTTGGTCCTTAGCTGGTTAGGTGCTAAGAATTTTATTATTTCGTTGGGGTGTTATACTTGTAGTTTTTGAATTTGTGGAGTTTATGATGATAAATGTTTTGAATTCAATTGGATTAGAAGAATTTTCTATGTAAGGAAAACCAATTTGATGCCACTGCTTTTTAGGTACTTGTATATGTCGTTTCTTTGACCAAGTAGAGTAATAGAATTTGTTCTGGCATTTTTAAGACAAACCATGAACAGCCATGAAAACAGGATGGATTTATCACTCAAGGATCACTCACCTTCTGTGGAAAATTGCTTTAGTTTGTTGATCAGGGATATGCATATGGATGTAATGTTCATTGTTAATTTGGATAGTTCTTAGTTGCTTTCAACTTTTCATTTTCCTATTTTTATTTTTTCTTTTTTGTTAGAAGATCTGTCTGGTACATCCTGCATATCAGCAATTGAGAATTTTTTTTTTCCTCTGGTTTGCTGAGATTAGGAAGTTGTGTGGTTAATATAATCCTTTGTTTAACAAGGCCGAGGCTCATTCTGCAGTCTGCAACCATACCTGTATTGGACATTTTTGTTTTTCCATAGAAATAGTGATCATAAGGAATTGATAGAAGGTCCTCACAATGGAAATGGGGATTATTAAGTTTATTGGATGGGAAAAATTGAGTGTGGAAATGCATTCTAAATGAACTTGCTGTGGACAGGGGAGGAATTTATAATTGTTAATATCCGTTTATCTTGTCATTAATTTTTTTTTTATTTTTTATTTTTGCTTTTAATCTTCCATATTCTTGATGTTGGTTTTATGCTCTAGGGTATGCTATTTCTGAAGGGGGAATTATACTTGTACGAGAGCATAGGCTTCCTTGTTGTGGCATTGGGATTGGCTGGTTATTGTAAGTTCACAATCATAATTTCTGTACCCCAACACTCATATCTGTTTATACAAGGACAAAATGAGTTTATGTGCCCGTTGCCTTCAGCGGTATATGCTCTCATCCCAAAGGGGAAGGGTGGAAAGATTCCAGTCCTGGCTAAGACATGTTTATGTGTGTATTGCTTAGGAGATACAAATAAAAGCAGGTTCCAAAAATTGCTTCATCTTACATATTCACTTAGAATGATGAGCAAGTATGTCGGATATGGGATGGATATGCATTTACTGCACTATGTGTTGGAAAAGTACCTAACCAGAGCGACAGACCACATAAAGAGGAGCAAATACCCATTTGAACAAAAACAGATTCTTAATTCGATGAAGTGTTCTTCTGCTTCGTTTAGTTTTTGTTTATTTGGTTATGTAGCTGCTAGCTTCACAAGAAGGTATAGCTGTCCCCACATATGCATTGGCTGCTATACTATAATCATGCCTGGACTTGATTCAAGTCTCTGATAAGTCTAATCATTGACTTCACAAGTAGGCTAGCCTGCTCCTTCTGAAGGATACCGTCACATTTTGTTTCTTTACAGCACACACCTTTCTATCCTAATGTACAGAGGAAGAAAGCTTCTTGGAGAAGGAAAAAAATGGGTGGAGAAAAATTGAACACTTTAATGATTGATTCTTGCTTCACTTTGAAAACTTTGGAAACTACAAAATCTGGCCCTCTTGCTCATATCTGTAATGATTCTTCTAGGATCCATTTGCTTTTGAACTCGATCTTTCACATTGCCTAGTGCAAAATATCAATAAGAGTACCATTTTTTGTAGTTTCACATTGCCATCACAGTTATACTAGTCCCTTATGTCTTCTCCCTCTATTCATTTTTCTATACCCACATTTCACAATACAAAACTATAATGCCGCTGGCTCTGTGGGGTGCGCGCAGCAGTGCATCAGAGAGAGATGAAATGCAAGGATTGATTTCAAAGTGCTTGATGTTGTTGCTGGAGGTGGAAGGGGATTTTGCACTGGTGAAAAAGGTTGGCCATGTGATAATTGTGGGATTGCAAGGGTGAGGCAATGCCAACTAGATTTGGCAGTCCTCCTGCTCTTTGTTGACAATGGCAGACTCTATTTCCATATTCACATCCGTCCAGCATAGATCAAAAGGTCATGCTGGACTTTAGTCCAGCTTCGAATTATTTATCAGCTGAACTGTAGTACAAGCAAGATGTCTTGATTCAAATGGAAGGAATTAGCATCTTAAAGGAATGGCCAAACTGTAAATGATGAAACATTGTATCCCTAAAAATAAGTTTCGAAACTTGTAAAGCTAGAACATAATAAGAAAATTGGAAATCTGAAGCAGAAAATGATGGATTCTTGCAAGTCACTGCGATGGATTTTTTTAGAGATTCAATGACTAGAGAGAAAGGAAGATATAATTTTAGAGACAACAACGCCCATCCAAAAGTGTTTCCTTTACCAAAAATAGAAATTAAACCTGACATCTGGATCTATCCCTAAGAAGGGTATCTATTTGAAAGCACTGGATCTCACCCAAATACATGGCTATGTAGGTATGTATGTATCTGTGTGTGCTTGAATTTTATATTAATATGACAATGAGCAGTTATACACATATATACTATTCACTTTTTTTTGCTTTCTTATATTAGTGTCTTTTAACATTTGGAACTTGACCCAATTTTAGGTGTGGCTTGTTTTTGGTTTACTTACATCTTCACAAATAACCTGCCCAAGGCAACCTATTGTAGATTTCTCTTCACAATGATTGTGATGGAAAAAATACCGATCCATATTGAATGGATTCAAAATGATTGTACTGCAGAGGGATGTGTAGTCCTGAATGCTTTTGTTTCCAACTTGCCGAAACCGGTGCAATCATTACGTTTCGGTGCAGATACAAAACGGAAATGGAGATAAAATTGGAATTTGATTCCAAAATGTTTCAAAACATTAGAAGAAACTTCATGAAATATTCTAAACATGGGAATTTAGATTTTCAACCTCTTGTTCATTTGGGTTTCCACCGAAACTGAAATGATGCGGTTGAAATGAACAAAATGAATTGAAATTTTGATCCTTGGGCATAATGAAACAAATTGGTATAGGTCAAGGTTTGCAGTAGAGAATTCATGACCCTGAACTAGTTGAGATGAGTTATTTCATCCCTTTCCTTCCAAGTGTAGTAGCCAGTCAAAAAAGGTTGTCTTTTGTACTACGTCGAGCATGGATTTTACCCTAGGAAGCATGGATACAAATATTAAATATGGATACGATCCGATACAGATATAACGATATGAAAAAACATAAAAAAATAAAATAAAAGACTTCATATATCTAGAATACGTCAATAATAAAATATATTTTTTTACTATTATTTGAAATTTTGATAATTATATTTTCTAATAATTTCTTTAACAAAAATACAAAAAATTAGTAACTTTTACTTTCAGGAAAAATATTGATCATCTCATTATGTGTGTCTATAAAGTGAATGTGACAAATTAAGAAATTAAAATCAAAATTTAACTAGGTATTTTACTTTAAACTTCTTGTTCCGAAGATTTTTGTATGCAAGTAGGGTATCTTAAGGTTATGTGGACTCTTCAATGATCAACTAAATTGGATTTTTGTAAGCGTTGTGATTTTCTTTTGGGGGTTGGGTTGCCACCAAGTTGCACAATGTCAGCTAAGGCAAATTTGGGTGCTTGCCTAGTGGCTAAGGTTTTCGTTGGTGCAAGTTAAATGTCATGAAGTGATCAACATACTAATGAGATGATCAAAATTTTTAATCAAGACTTCTAAAATCTGGCAAATCACTGATTTATTCTATGGAGATGTAGTTACTAGATTTTACGAGATTAAGGAGTAAAGATACTGTGGAATGATTGAAGTGCACATGATTATTGGTTGGAAGCAACTTTGTTAGGGGGAAAACCTGAAGACCTTGATCACCTTTCTTAGTTTTGTATTGTCCTTTAACCAGTCTACATAGTTTGAAGTGCGTTTGTCAGATGTGTGTGATTGATGGTATTGATTTGCCTTTATTTGCAAGGTTTATCATTGGTTTCTTTCTTGGTGCCATTCCCTGGTACATTGGAGCTTTTCTTCTGCTGTGTGTTCGGGTGGATTACAGGGAAAAACCAGGACTTATCGCATGCACATTAGCTGTAAGTGTGGTGATCACTAACCAACTCAATTCTTACTTGCTTAAGGTTTTTCTCTAATAATATTGTTGTTTGTATAGAGGTTCATGTTTCACAAGTCTTTTGCACTGGTTTTAGAGTCTTCATAATCCCAATAATTCTTCATGCCTCTTTCAAAATCAGTTCGTACATTTGTAGGTGGCTGGTGCATTGGGCCTTTTCTTTCCCTCCTTAACTTGTTTATTCTATCCGCCTTCCCATATTATTGCTTAGTTGCTGATATTGATAATTTATTGATGGCAACACTGTTATCATTGCTTTCACCGAACAAAGTACCCTCATATGTACGCAAGTGATAATTATTGGTTTAGTTGCGTAGCAGGCAAGTGTTACATATGCTTAATGGCCTCTCTAAAGTTGATCTTTCAAACCGGGAGTTAGGGATGTGGACAGAATTGTCTGATTATAATAACGGTGGTCCCTTTGAATCGTGTCTACATTCCTTGGAGTAACATGATTAGTAGCTTAAGGTTTGGAAATTAAGATGTGCCAAATTGCCAGGACTAACTCTTAATTTGAGAACTAATGAGGTATACTTCAAGGGTAGTCAAGCCAGTGGCAATGAAATGGTTTTGTTAGATCAATATGAGATTTTGTTTAACTGGGGGCAGAGTAATGCATGTCATAGGAAAGAGAAATGAAATGCCAAACTTAAGCATCTTGTCTCATTGCGAAGTATTTGCCTGTGCTGAATTGATTTTTGTGCTTAAATGCTTGCAGGCCATCCTTGCTCTGGTTGCTGTTACTTTGGGTGTGACGAAGGCAACTCATTCCTGGTGAAATGCATACCAGCTGTGATGATAATTCCAAGTGAAGTTCATGTGGGCTGCAAAAACATTGTATATTTCCTGAACAAAATCTCAGAAAACATCAGGATGGTTGGATTTTTAGAACTGTAATGTCGTAAAAATATCGGATGATGCCTTGTTTCAAACGGTAGGAGCAATCACAATATGAATGGACCTTTGCGTTTGTATATCATTGTTGTTATTTTGTATCTCTAGCTATTTCTCATATTTTACAACAAATATAAATACATAGAAAGAGCAGCAAAGCATTTGGTTGAAAATTTATCCTACGGGTTACTGCTATTTTATATACCCATTATTTTTCTTCTGCTTGGTTGATTGGCAAGTTTTTCAATGATATGTGTATATTTTTTACCACGTCTGTCTATCTGGAACGCAATCCCAATATGGGTTTGCTTTTCGACCGTATTATTGACCACAATCGAATTCCACTAGCACTCGGGGATCGTGCAGAGGCCTTAAATTTGTAGTGCAATATCATAACTATTATTGACCCAATTCCTAAAAGGCAGACCGGCTTTCTTCAAGATATGAAACGAGCAGTTATAAATGGAAGAGTTGAATTGACCCCACCTTTATTGATCAGTAAATGATAGCTATTAGGTTTGTGGAATGATTGATGGATCAACTGAATATACTTTCGTGACATGAGTGAATTTTGATCCACCACTTTAGGAAAAGAGACGAAACGGTCTATCCGTCTTTACACATATGCGGAAGTAATCGCTGACGGACAAGAGATTTCTCTTTATTTTCTTTATTTAAGATAGAGTCATCAACTGAATCACCGCCTCCAGAACGTTAGCCTCTAGGCTATGCCCCTGAAATTGCAAATTATGTTGGGATAGTACTGACAGAAGCATAGCTCTTAGCATTTTGTTCAAAACCTCTGTGCAGTAAGGGATAATTTCACGGAACAGGTTGTTTTTTGATCCATGATGGTTGTGGGTTCTGTGTGATGTTTTTCATATCATTCCCTGCTTGGCCTTATCCTGCTCTTTTTTACTATTATCGAAGTGTTTGATTGGATAGTTGGACCCAATTAGGGATATTGGATTTGATAACCCAACACAATCCGAATCGGTTGGATTACAATCCTATTCTAATTCTCTCTCTCTAGCCTGTAAAACCTATCCTATGTTTGGCTAGTCTATATTATCTAGCAAAAATTGTTGACAAGTTTCATGGTGGGACTTTTTGTTTTTAACTAGTCCAAGGCACAATTTATTTGTATAAGCACTCAAAACAAATCATTTATTAAGTGCAAAGTGATTTTTAAAAATTTATTTAATGACAAACATACCCTCCAAATGAAGAAATGATCATTACAACGGTAATACAACGTCAGTATTGCCACCATTTGCGAAGTGTTGTGTTTTGGTGGAGTTTTATTTGTTATTGTCTTCGTATGTATGGCAGTAAGGTTATGGCCATTTTGACACCAACCCATTGATATGAACTTGATCTGTTTTCTATTTCTGATGAGTGGGATGACTTAGTTTGTTAAATACAAGGAACTGAATTTTGTTTTGAAAAAAAATAAAAGCGTTCGAAATATTTTCGATTTCACAAGGATTGCAATAAATTATTGATTGAATATTGAAATTTTAATGTTTCGACTAATATTTTGGTACGTTTCTTTGACCAATATTTCAAAAATAAAATTTTAAATTTTTTCTTTGTGTTTCATTTTGATTTAAAAGCCAATCAAAACTATGTACTAATACAAAGTTTTAATCTTTAGTTATACGAACCGTTGAGGTCCAATCCTTTCTTGCTAATACAGTGTGTCAGTACCATGTTGCTACCGCAAATTCCATTTATTGCATGGTCAAGTATTAGGCCGAAGTAAGGATTGGACCTCAACGTATAGTCTTGGCATACTGTGTGCATAAGGTCGTCTACCACTTATATTTTTAAGTGTAAGTTTCAGAGTGATTTTGTCTATATAAAAAAAAAATAAAAACTTGTGTGCGTACGTCTGCCCCACACGTCTGTGTGTGGGACTAGTCTTCCCAAAAAAAAAAAAATATTAGGTCAAAGTAAATAGAAATTGAACTTAAAAAAAAAAAAATAGAAGTTGAGGAGATAGTTCAATGAAATTATGAATGCATAGGCGCTCTTGTGTTAGGTTTTAAGTCGTATAAATTATGTCATGTGAAAAATTTATGTAATCTATAATTGATTAATTTATAATTGTGTATAATCAATGTCGTGTTATGTATCTATCATATATATATATTTTAGGTATAATGGTCAGAAGTATTCGGACTAATTTACGTGCACCTTGATTAATGTCATCTTTGGTCTGTCGAGATTGGGATAATCATGAAGGATAATAATCGACTAAGCCCAAGGGATTACCAAGATTTGAAATTAAAAAGTCTGAATTTACAGTTTATCCATATTATCACTTGACTTACCTTTAAGATTGTTCTCATTATTTTGATCCGAGTTTGTTTCGATCCAATTACCAAGTAGGTTAGGCAGATCCAACTGTTTGCTACTTGAGTTCATTAGGGTTCGTAAGTAAATGTTAGAAAACACAAGGAAAGAAAAATAAAAATACAACTTTTTTCTTGTTTGTTTTTTAAGATAAAGGAAGAAATTATAGGAAAGTGAAATTGTGGGACCATTAAATTTTCTTGTATTAGAACACTTTTGGTTTCCTGCAAAATTAATAGGGATTTTTTTTTCCAATGAAAATGTGGGCTATTAATCACACTTGACCTTTTGCCCATAGTCATATCGTATCCTCTCTCATATATGAATATCAAATTGAACAACAATACTAACTAGTGAACCAAAAAACAAAAGCTCTCAACATAGCTGATTTAATATAATTAAGAGTAATTTAATTATAATATATATTTTCTATAGATTGATTTAATATAATTAATTGTAATTTAGATAATTAAATAAATTTTCTTTTCTTTTAAATAATAGAATAAATTTTTTAAAAAAATTTCTTTTAAGTTTTTCATACTAATCAAATAATGCATGAAAATATATTTTCTCTCACTTTCTTTTCTTTCACTTCACTTTATTTTATAAATTTTAACATCTCTATTTGAAGAGATAAAAATAGTTAGGTGTCAACCATGCATTGCTTCTACATTACTAATATTTGATATTTATTATTTTATCATAAAAGGTGGATAAATGCCTAGTCTTTCAAGTTTAACATCTCCTTCAATATAGATAAGGACATTTTAGACAATTCTCAAAATTTTCTAACAACTTGACTAGCTTTCAAATAATAGAATGAATTTATTTAAAAATTTTCTTTCAAAATTTTCATGCTAACTAAACACATGAAGAGTTCGTTTGTTTAACGAAAGAATGAAAGAAGATACAAAAAAAAGAAATTTTTTAAAATTTTCATGTGTTTGGTTAGCATGAAAAGGAAAATTATGGAAAAAATAATTTTCCTTCATGTTTGAATTTTCTCACAAATAACCAACTTTTTTTTCTTGTAAAAAACACAAGGAAATACAAGAAAGTTGTGATCTATAACTAACTTCCTATTTTACCCTTATTTTTCTTAAAATATCTTATTGGTTGTTAATTCTAAAAAAATTTGGTATGAATTTGATTAATCACATAATTTGGCCTAAAGAACTTTGCATTGGTGATTGTTTTAAAATTAAGTTTCGAGCCATTTTTTTAAAATTTTTTAACTTTCAATTATAATTACATATTTTTTCTTTTTTAGACTGATTTAATATAATTAAGGGTAATTTAGACAATTATAAAAAATTTCTTATAATTTTTCTTTTTTTAAACAATAAAATAAATTTTTTTAAAAAAAATTTAGTAAATTTTTCATTCTAACCAAATACATATATGAAAATATATTTGTTATCATTTTCTTTTCTTTTACTTCATTTTTTATCATTTTCACTTTTCATCATTTTTTTTTTCTAACCAAACGAACCCTGAAAAAAAAATTATTTTCATTTCTTTTTTCTTTTTCTCAGTTCACTTTCTATTATTTTTATATTCCACCATTCTTTTCTTTCTAACCAACGGACAATTATACGCAAACCTAATAAATTCGGCATTCTCATTAAGATTGAAGATACTAGAAATAACCTAAACGGATTTCGGGTAATCCTACGCCTCAACGCGAACATGAAACCCTTATAACCAAACACCCATCTCACTTTCTCTACAATCTAGGGTTTCCACGTCTCCGCCTCCACTCAGATATAAACGGAACAAAACCCTAGCTTTCCTCTCCAACGCCTCACCCACAAACACTAGGGAACACACAGTGAGAGGAAGAGAGAGAAAGAGAGCTAAGAAATGGTGACTTACAAGGTTAGCTTATCTCACCTGTCATCTTCTCTCATATGGTTTTCAATGTCCATCATTTTATCGAGTCAAAATCTCAACTTTTACAGTCGCATCTTTGTATATGAATATGTATACACGTATATATGTGTATATACGTAAATTATTTCGATTTGATTTGCTTAAATCAGGGTTTGGAATTGTGAAAATGTCTGTGTGTGCAGTTTCATCAGTACCAGGTGGTGGGGAGAGCTCTGCCATCGGAGACCGATAAGCATCCCAAGATCTACCGCATGAAGCTATGGGCCACCAACGAAGTCCGTGCCAAGTCCAAGTTCTGGTACATAAAGCATCAATACAAGCGTGTGTAGTGTTGTGATTTACTGGTATTGATTTGATTGGGTGTTGGTTGATAAAGGTATTTTCTGAGGAAGCTCAAGAAGGTGAAGAAGAGCAATGGTCAAATGCTTGCTATCAATGAGGTTATACATCTCATTAATCTTTTCTATTTTTGCATTGAGTTACTTTTTAGCATGCCTTTTGATTTGGATTGGAAATTTTGATGATGGATATGAAAACACAATATGTTCCATTGATTTCTGCTTTATTTTCTATGACATATGTGTAAGCTGCGTGAAATTAGAATTATTTTCCAAGAAATTGCAATGCTATCATCATGATATGAACTGGTTTGTGTTTGCAAAAATCTACTATTTAATAATGGACAATTATTTCAACTATGTGCCCTTTGTGCTCATGGCTACGATGCACCCCTTTTGGTCGTCACTGTTGTGATCATTATTATTCCTGCTGTTATTATCATTAATGATCGTCAGTAGTGGATGTAGTGTTTGTGGTGGTGGCTGTGACTGAAGGGAGATCAAATCATTGTTATTTCTACTATTATTTTCCTTATTATCAGTAGTAGTTTTAGTAATACTAGTATTGTGGTGGTGGTGGGTGTCGTTACTGCAATGATATCAAATCATCTGCTTCCCAGAGATACCTTTCACTGTTTAGATATCTTCTGAGCATCTATTGTTCCAATATACGTCTTCACTAGAAGTTTTGGCCTTCTATGTTTCTTCTGTTTTTTTCTCTTCATAGCATATTGACTAAGGCAGCTGAAAAGAATCTGACTGCTAAGTATTGAGGTTAACTCTAAAAGGTTAGAAGTGATCTGAGTTCTGAAACTTGACTTTGATTTTTTGAAGGTTTGAGTTACTAGATGCTCTGGCATTAGGGTTATGATTCATCTCTCTCAAATGGCATGATCACATGTTTGAGTCGGGGAAAATTCGTATCCTCTGGCACTTGTTTTTTTGAACGGTACTATCTCGCTCATTGTTTGGCTACATTTGCAAGTTGGTTAGAATACACTGGTGATCTCTGAAGTATGCATTGGGTCCTTAATTTCCAATTGTGTTATTCTGGTTCTTAACGTTTTTAATTTGTTCGAAATGATCCTTTTGCTAATGACCCTCCAAATAATAAACAGAACCAGACATGTGAGCCATTATCAAAAGATACAACTCTTGTCCATCAATTATTTGGACATAATTTATTAATGGACCAATTGTTAAAGATTAATAACACAATTGGAAGCTGAGAGATCAAAATGACAGCGAGAGACTACTACAGAGCTTACTGGTGTTTTATACAGTTTGCACGTTTTATGACTACTATTAATTGTTGGATGGATGAATGGAGTGCAGTGCGTAACTTTGATACTTGAGAGCATAACTTGCAGTCTTCCGGTTGCCTGCCAATTTTCTTGTTGCAATTATTTAATCTGACATACTGTTTCTGTCTAAATTCTGATTTTATAGCGTTGGAGTATTGTTTCATTCATATTGAATATTATAACTTGTTCTCTGTAGATTTTTGAAAAGAACCCGACGACCATCAAGAACTTTGGTATTTGGTTACGGTACCAAAGTAGAACTGGTTATCACAACATGTACAAAGAGTACCGTGACACCACTTTGAATGGTGCTGTTGAGCAGATGTACACTGAGATGGCTTCTCGCCATAGGGTCCGGTATCATTGCATCCAAATCATCAAGACAGCCACCATCCCTGCTAAGCTTTGCAAGAGGGAGAGCACTAAGCAGTTCCACAACTCTAAAATCAAGTTCCCCTTGGTGTTTAAGGTGATTAGACCACCATCTAGGAAGCTTAAGACCACATACAAGGCATCTAGGCCCAACTTGTTCAAGTAACTTATTTGGTCGATTATTGGAGGAGTAAGAAAGACCGGATTTAAATTCTGCAATTTTGTTACTTCACTGGGAATCTGCAGTGTTATTTTGTGATTGTGGGATATTTTGTTTGGTTTGAAATTTCTAGGATATCAGACAGTATGATCTCTTTATTGGGTCTTCAGAATTTCTGTTTCTCTACATTTGCAATGATGCAGTACTTGGTCTTACTCTCCTTTGTGTCATATTCATTTTGCTTGAAATGGGTGTGTCTTCGATTTGATAGTACTTCCGGTGGTGGGAATCCTTTTGCCTTTGTGATGAAGTGACCGGAGTAGGTTAATTAGATGATCGGGTGATGGTTAATCTAAATTTTAAGTTTTGGAGGTGGTGCTCTATGTGGTTAAAACATTTAGCATTCAATATCATCTTGATTATTGGTGACTTGTAGCGGTTAGAGTGGCTTCATACTTAGAGCTGTTGGGCTCTACCCTCATTGAGAATAGAATGTTGTTTTATTTGAAGACCTAATTTAGCATTTAATTTTTCTCCTTGCCCCAGCTCCCAGTGTATCTGGTGTTTTATGCACAGGCTTTAGAAATCAATAAAAATGCTTCTGTCCTGATCTTCATATTTGAGTTTGGGTATGAAATTGGATAGCTGTACTTGGTATTCTTAGTTATAAGGAAGTGTTGCTGCTCACTCTTTGTTTAAATCGGAGCTTAAGGTTCAACAGCAGGATAGTAGCCATTAGGTCAACCACTAACTTCAATGATAAATGAATGTCAAAACAACCATTAATAGCCCTTTTTGTGGTCAAATGAGGTTCTGGATGTGCAACTCTGTAGCTAACTTCATATCATTCATTTTCTCCCTACTCTCCATACGTAAAAGAGAAGCAAAATTCATTACTTCTACCAAAATTTAGGAATTGTCATAAGATTATTGAGTGCTTTTAGCACACAAATCGAGCGTTATGCAATTCCTAGTTATGAGAAAGAAAAGAAATTCAACAAACAGAGAATTTGCATATACAGGGATGTAACAGCATTACTTCTACGAAGAGTATGAAATTATCTGACTCAAACTCACCCCAACAATCAGAGGTGTTTACTCTACCCTACGGGTAGAATTATAATCTTCCGTCTTTTTATCCAATACTTTGTAGAATAATTTTTTCTTAACTTACCCTACCTGATCAAGTGTAGTATTCTTATTCGATTTTCGGCCAAATTAATTGGGTGAATACTTTTGTAGTTATTATTTTTTGGATTATTTTAACAATTCAATTAAATAACATGTACTAATTTAATAACACAATAAATCAATAACACTAAAATCTAAAACAATTACAACAACGATTACAGTAAAACACAAGAAAGCATAAATATCAATCAATGATAATTATTACACAAATATAATAACAATTATTTAAGTTTAAACCATATGGTTAGAAAATTATGGTTTTTAGTTTATATATATATATAAATTAATGCGGATAGGGTAGGTAAGAATACAAAAATTAATGGCTATTCCGCATCCCTATCCGATTTAATCAGAAGACCAAAAACTCTTCTGTATTTTTATCCAATTTTTTCAGCTAGCCGTTTAATAGGGTCAAGTAGAATCGGGTAGAATAGAAAATTACGGCTAATTGAAAATTTGAACACTCCCTACAAACAATGTTGCCTAAAGAGGATATGGTCTTACAACATTTTATAATTGTTAACTTCTTGCATTTATTTCCCCTTTTTCATGCTCTTAAACACTTTGCACAAATTTTTCTTAAGTATTGAGTAATGTTTGTTCAAAGGAGACAAATTTTATGAAAGGTATATCCTTGACCCGTTCTCGCTCATTCGTTTCACTGAAGCTGAACACTTCCATCAAGAAGACAAGCAGAGTAGTCAAGCGAGCTATCACGTTTTTTCTGGCTCCTCACCTACACAAATTAGGTTGTTTTGTTTGGAGGGTTATCAGTGAGATCCCATTTGCTATGTGGGTTAAGCCTCACAGCTATACCTTTTTTTTTTTTTTGTCGAACCCGAGTTCGTCATGCTGAACTTGGTCCAACAGATTTGGGCTACCCATCCTTGGGTTAGGAGAGGATTGAGTAATTGGGGGTTGGGATATAATTTAGTAGATAGGATATTTTATTAGAAATATAAGGGTCATTTGACGTAATTAACCTGCACTATGATATATGAAACCCACCCCCATGGGTTTGCCCAACCCTATGCATGTGGGTTTAATACACCGGGCCATTTATGGGTGAGATATGATTTTTTTTTTTTGGGGAGGGAGAAGGGAAAGGGGTACTTGGACCCTTGACCTCAACAAAGGTAAAACTTTTACAAAACTAGGAGTACCATTGAATCAAATGCCCATCGGTGACGGGTGAGATATGAATCTTGGGTTTAAAAATGCTAACTAAACAAGGGATTATAGGGTCTAACATATTATTTTTCTTAAGGAAAATTTGGAGGTCAGTTCCTCTATATGGACTTGTTTAGACTTAAGTTCGTCAAAGAAACTTATTTATTATAAAGTCCGTTTTTTTTTTAATTTTATCATATTATCCATTCCCTTTAGAAGTGAAATAAAATTAAAAATTAAAAACTTCTAAATTTTAGGAGTTTAACTAACATTAAAATATTTTCTCTCTCATATTTATCTATATCCATATATAGTTTAAGAGTTTGACTAACATTAAAATTTTTTCTCTCTCATAAAAAATAAAAAAATAGTAACATTCAATTACAAAAAAAGTTATCATTTGGACGCAAAAAATAATACATTTAAACATAAAAAAATAGTAACATTTAAGCATAAAAAAATTGAAACATTCAATATTAATATTTTAAAAAAACAAAAATAGTAACATGTTCAACAAAAATATTAACATGTTCAACAAAATTAGTAATATGCTTAATAATAACCGTAACATACTTAACAATAATTATTTCTCTCAAATTCAAACTCAAAAAATAGTATCATTCAAACACAAAAAATAGTAATATTAAAATAATAATAATAATAATAACATTGAATATTAATATTTAAGAAAATAATAGTAATAATATGTTCAACAAAAACAGTAATATGCTCAAAATAACAGTAACATGAAGAATAACACACTCAACACAAACAGTAACATAAATAGTAACATAATAAAAAAAATAATAACATGAAACATTCAATTTAACAAATTAACCCCCACAAAAAATACCAAAAATACCAAAAAATAAAAAATTAACAAGAACCAAAGATTCTCATCCGTTATCCACAAAATTGACATAAATCATACAAATTTAAAAGATGAACATTGATGAACAACACCACTAGCTAGCTGGAGAGAGAGAGAGAGAGAGAGCTTTAAATTTGAATTTTAAATTTATGATGGAGATTTTATTAACATATTTTAATTGACATTGAATTAATGAATAACTATATCCAAAATAGAAAATTAATTTAACCTCCTTTCAAAAAAGGTAATTTTGAGATAAAAAAAAATGGACTTAAGTTATTATATATAATTTTAAACATGGACTTAACCTCTTATAAATTTTCTTGCAGAACTTATCTTCAAATAAATACATCTAGATGACTCATTTCTAATTTTCACTTTTCTTAAACTCACCTTGCAAACCCGATAAACAATCGGGCCCTAAATTGTTCGGCCAGGGGCCTACTGGACAGAGCTGAAAGCCTGGCGTCCGCCATGGGACCGTGTTGACGGTCCTCGGCTGGAGGCTGGCCTAGCCCAATGCCAACCCTTAACCCAATTCAACCTCCAAGAACGGAATTCCTAATTTTGCTTAAGATTATATTATTTAGATATAATTTATCATAATTTATAATTTTTTGATTGATAACGGGTGACAATTAATTATGGGATTCATTGTCAATTATATCATTGATTGATTAGGTTAATAAATTATGTCTAAATAATATTATTCTTTTAATTAATAGAAATTCATGTATATGAACTAAAATGACAAAATAAATTAATTATACGAATTTAATCTTAACAATTTCCTCATCGTATAACCCTTTTTTCCAAACCCAAATAACGGATTTATCTTTAGTTTATTTGTTTTGGTCAGACACTATTACAGGTGAGGAAGACGACCAGGTTCGATCCTGTTACCAGATTTAACAACGGTGTCAATCACTATTAGGATAATCGCTAACTCTCTTCTTGTTTTAATATAAAAAAATATTATTTGAATCTAATTTAAAGAGATACACCATTAACTATTCCATGAAAGCGGGCCTTATATAATTTTAAAAGTCATAATTAATTTAATAATTATAATAAATTATATTTAGTTAGGGGACATAATCAAACCTTTGCACGTACCATACCAAATCCCATGAGATATGAGTTTGACTACTTACCAAAAGGCAGCAGAAATGTCAATTTGCACTTAATTAGTATCACATTGAAAATGCAAAAGGGGTCATAATTACTACGACTATGCAATGCTTGTAATGATGATTCATTTAATTATCTCGTCAAACTAATATTAGAAAAATGATATAACTTTAAACTCCCTCTTGTCTCTTTCAATCTTTTTTTTTTGGATAAATTTGTCTCTTTCAATCTGCATGGAGACACTCCCCACCCACCCTCGTCACAAGAATATCTCCTTTTTCATTATCAATGGTTGGTAGAACAACCACTTGAATTGATGCAAATCTCTTTCAATAATTCTTTTTGAGTAATTTTATATATACTTGAATAATTGATTTGATTAATTACTATTATTCAATAGTTGTGATTCATCAAATCAGCAAATCATATCAACTTTTTAAATACAAATAGTATTTTTTAAATTTTTTTCGTTTTCTAAATCAACTACCATGTATTATTGAGAGATCTATCTATATATTAAATCTCACTTAAATTTATGACACGTGATTTATAAAAAAAAAAAAATCAAAAAAACATATATTAGAGAGAATCTTACTTCAAACCTATCATACTCGATATAAATAGGGCAATGTTACTGGACTATCTGGTCTGTTAGAGGTAGTGGAAGATAAAATAATCTTTTAGTTTAGAGAAATTTATTCTCGAATTCAAACCTAGAAAATACATGAATTAGATGGTTAAACAATTGTTATCGTTTATCTGTACTCTTTGTAAGAAATATCAACAGTCAAAGACTACAATATAAATTAGGTTAAAGTGAGAGATAACTATAACTATACTATTTAGTTGGGCGTTGATTCAAGGAATACTATGTTTACTAAATAATTTTTTTTTTATCAAATCTTCGTCTCACATGATACGATACAATTTTAATTATATAAAATGGGTTTTGTTAATTACTTCATGATGAAGATTATGTTATATCATTTGAGAAGAAAGATTTAATACATATTTGGTAAGCTTTGATTTGTTCTTGATTCAGTCACTTCACATGGTAAAACAAGACCACTTGCTTATGGGACAGGGCTGTTAAAAGATGCCCCAGGCCTTATGATTCATGGGGACTGGCTGATGGTTATAGCTGGAAAATTTCTGAACACTTAAAAAGAGTGCGT